CCTCCAGTTACTCATTCAGACACAATAAGATACAGACTCGTCTCCCTGTGAAGTCCATCAGCAGTAGAATAGGAGTGTTTGTGGATCACAGTGCAGGAACTCTGTCCTTCTACAGCGTCTCTGACACAATGAGCCTCATCCACACAGTCCAGACCGCATTCACTCAGCCGCTCTATCCTGGGTTTGGGTTTAATGATAATAACTCATCAGTGAAACTGTGTTGATGAATCAGAATAGACTGACGAGAGATTCTACCCATAATGCTTTGAGCTACATTATAAATCAGTAACAGTGAGATGTTATAGAGTCTCTTCTTTTCTCTTGATGACATTAATACTGCAGCTGAACTTCTGTCAGTGAAATAACATGTCAGAATAAATGTGTGTAATAAATCCTCATGTACAGGTGCATCTAAAAAAAATTGAATATCGTGAAAAAGTAAATTTTTTCTTCTAACTAATTTCAAAAAGTGAAACTTTCATATATTATAGATTCATTACATGTAAAGTAAAACATTTCAAAAGGTTTTGATGATTAGAGGTAACAGCTCATGAAAGTCCAAAATCCAGTATCTCAAAATATTAGAATATTTACATTTGAGTATCATTAAATGACCATCCCTACAGTATAAATTCCATGTATCTCTTGTTCTTTGAAACCACAATAATGGGGAAGACTTGCTGACTTGCAATGGTCCAGAAGACAATCATTGACACCCTCCACAAAGAGAGTAAGTCACAGAAGCTCATTACTGAAAGAGCGGCTGTTCACAGAGTGCTGTATCAAAGCATATTAAATGCAAAGTTGACCGGAATGAAGAAATTTGGTAGGAAAAGGTGCACAAGCAACAGGGATGAGTGCAAGCTTGAGAATTCTGTCAAGCAAAGCCGATTCAAAAACTTTGGAGAGCTTCACAAGGAGTGGACTGAAGATGGAGTCAGTGCATCAAGAGTCACCACGCTCAGACGTCTTCAGGAAAACTTCTGAAACAGAAACAACGTCAGAAGCATCTTACCTGGGCTACGGAGAAAAAGAACTGGACTATTGCTCAGTGCTCCAAAGTCCTCTTTTCAGATAAAAGTACATGATATTACTGTGCTTGATTGGCCAGCCAACATGCCTGACCTGAAGCCCATATGGAATCTATGGGATATTTTCAAGAGAAAGATGAGAAACAGTGGATCCAACAATACAGATGAGCTGAAAGCTCAATAGTGCCTCAGCAGTGCCACAGGCTGATCACTTCCATGCCACACCTGCATAAATGAACATAATTTTAAACATAACTTTACATAACTTGAACTTTTCTGTTTTGCAGATCCTTTTTTTGATTGATCTTAGGAAATATTCTAATATTTTGAGATGCTGGATTTTTTTTACTTTCATGAGCTGTAAGCACTAATCATCAAAATTAAAAAAAAAATTTGAATTGAACTTTTGAAATGTTTTACTGTACATGTAATGAATCTAGAGTATATTACATTTTCACTTTTTGAAATAAGTTACAGAAAAACATGAACTTTTTAACAATTGTTTTTAGATGCACAGACAGTAAGATCAGTGTGTGTGAGTCCTGCTGAGTGACCAGCTCAATAGTGCCTCAGCAGTGCCACAGGCTGATCACTTCCATGCCACACCTGCATAAATGAACATAATTTTAAACATAACTTTACATAACTTGAACTTTTCTGTTTTGCAGATCCTTTTTTTGATTGATCTTAGGAAATATTCTAATATTTTGAGATGCTGGATTTTTTTTACTTTCATGAGCTGTAAGCACTAATCATCAAAATTAAAAAAAAAATTTGAATTGAACTTTTGAAATGTTTTACTGTACATGTAATGAATCTAGAGTATATTAAATTTTCACTTTTTGAAATAAGTTACAGAAAAACATGAACTTTTTAACAATTTTTTTTAGATGCACAGACAGTAAGATCAGTGTGTGTGAGTCCTGCTGAGTGACCATGTGTTTCTGTGCTTTTCTCAACCTCTATTTGTCTTGAAATCGGCCATTTAGTTTTTACTGTAGTGGTACAATTTGTATTATTACTATCAAATGACTTTTTAATTTAAATGATCACACACAGTCAATAAATCATTTTCATTATTCACCTTATGTAGCTGCGTCCCTTTTCAGTGTTTTGTGTTCTTCTGTCACCTTTGTTTATATAGTGCCTTTTACAATATAGATTGTGTCAAAGCAGCTTTACAGTATTAAACAGGAAAATAGTGTGTCAATGCAAAAGGACAGTAGTAAACACTCAATTTTTAAAGTCAGTTCATCATTGATTCAGTGATGTCATCGTCCAGCTCAGTTCAGTTTAAATAGTATCTGTGCAATCAAGTTGACTATATTGCCGGAAAATGTCATACATTTATGTGTTGACCTCAGAATTAATTTTTATTTTTAGGTTACAGCTTGTTAATAATTTGTGTTACAGCTTTTCTCACTTTAACTGATTCATTTGGACCAATTTCCCAACCATTCATTCAGTTCTTGAAACAAAGACACATTTCTCAAAACTTTTAACATATTGCACCTGTTTTCACACACGTTCCAATTTTCTCAATGTTTTCTGTAAAACTACACACAAAAATGCCCTCATTTTGCACAGGTTTGACCATGTTCAAATTCAGAAAACAAAAGTGCACAATATAATTAAAGGGTTAGTTCACCCCAAAATGAAAATTCTGTCATTAATTACTCACCCTCATGTCGTTCCAAACCCGTAAGACCTTCGTTCATCTTCAGAACACAAATTAAGATATTTTTGATGAAATCTGAGAGCTCTCTGACCCTCCATAGACAGCAAGGTCTGCCACGATCAAGGCACAGAACATTTTATGAATCAGAATCAGAATCAGAATGAGCTTTATTGCCAGGTATGTTTACACATACGAGGAATTTGTTTTCGTGACAGAAGCTTCCGCAGTGCAACAGAATGACAGTGACAGAACAAAAACACAGATAATAAAAGTATAACAATAATAAGTAAATCAAAACATAGAACAAGTAAATAGTGAATAACAATATACAAATTGACAATTGTATGTACAGGTATATTACAATAGACAGTTCTGTATGTACAGGTATATTATGTGCAAATTCGAAGTGTAAAAGACAGATTCACAAATAACCTGCCTGATTTATCTCAACTGCTATGTGTACCAATAAATACACATGAACTAGACGAAATGACTAGCAACATGGGCACTATCTTCTCTAATACATTAGAAGCTGTTGCCCCCATCAAATTGAAAAAGGTTAGAGAAAAACGTACTGCACCATGGTACAACAGTAATACCCATTCTCTCAAGAAAAAAACTCTAATGTAGATGATCAGGCATGCTTTATTTGACACAGATGCGCTCTCATTAGTGAGAATACTAAATTTTTCAGATAACTTTTTGATGAAGTCCACTAACTGAGCTGTCATTTTTTCCTTCAATAGACATGAACATATTACGACAAGCCTTGTCAGAATGAAGCATGTTTCCCAGGTTTACACCATTGAGTTGTTGCAGTTCTACCAGCCGTGGCTGGATTTTAACTGAGAGCTCGTTGTGGCAGATCATATACTGTACACATGCAATTCTCAGTTGCTTTTAAACTCTTCTCATTATGTTTTGTCCACAGTGCTGCACTGCTTTCCATTGCGGTCTCTTGTCTTCTCTGCAAAATGTCTATGCACTTCACATGGGACTGGCACTTCTGATGTTTATTTTTTTTATGCCGTTAATGAATCCAGAATCAATGTGAAGCCTCTCTTTTGTATATGGCCCTAAATCTCTAATATCAGAGCAAGCTGTACACTGAATTGACCCAGCAAGCCTCTATCGACCCTCTCTCCATTTTGCAAAGCGTCATGCATCAATTTCGAAAAGACGTGCATGGAAGGCCACTGGAAGATGATTGCGGTATTGTCAGCTCTATTGTCACATGAGCAGGACTGATCGTGAAAGTCCATTTCTTGTTTTATTATTGTTCGCGCTAACAGCCTTTCAGATATATTTTTTAAATATTTTAATATTTTAGGCATTTTAAATAATCTTTTTCTGAGGAAGTATTAATTACTATGATAAATTTTGTCCCCACCAGTGATAAGAATAATTCAGCAGAGGTATGGATACAGGGCAAATCACTCCCTGGGAATATACTTAAGAGATATTTTACTCATAAGAATTTCTAGGGGTGCCAATAATTGTGGCCAACATGCATTAGAGAAAGATATTTATTTCATAATGTAAGTTGCCCCCCACATTCAATTGTTTTCCTTCAATGAAAGGTTAGAATTTTGTAAAAAAAAAAAAAAAAAAGAGAGAGCCTTTCCTCATATTTATCAAGAGTGCCAATATTAGTGCAGGGCACTGTATGGATGTCTGTAAGCTCCGGATATCTACTCACTCTATAACCACCGCTGGTCATGACATTCGTGAACAGCACTAAACACACACTTTAGCCGTACAACTGTAAATATATTATTATTTTAAACTTTTCATTATTGGCTGTACAACAAATGAGTTGTAATTGTCTGTTTTTTTACAGAAAGCTAAACGTCTGATGTTTTCTGGATGATTTGTTGGTAAAGGTAAAGGCTGAGAGAGCCGCATGATTTCTGTCCAAGAGCCCGGTGTGACTCACAGAACAGCGCCACCTGCAGACACAAATCAGCACAAACACAAACACCGTGATGCTCTTTACAGAAGAAAGTCTTTCAGTGTGAAACAGCACGCTCATATTTGACAGCGGTCTTCCTGCTGCTGCTCTGTTGCTGAAAATAAATCATTAAATAACTGAATTCTGAAATGAAAATGGAAAGTATAAAAATAACAGCTAATTTAAAATATTAACTATAAACTATAATAGTATACAGTACTTTGAATACTAAAATAACTGCTGTGTTAGACACTTTCACAGTATTTGTCATTTGATAGTTCTGGTGGCTAGAAAAATAATCTTTGTTTTACTGTAGTAACAATAAGTAACTTTTAAAGTTATTGTTACAAATAAATTCAGTAACTACAGTTCTTTAAACATTTTGTGGATGTTATTGTTTTCCTAACAGTCATTTGCAGTTTGTTTTAATTATTGTTAATTATGGACTCGCATATAATTTTTTTTTGCATTTTTAATTGTATCTCTCAGTTCTGACCTTTTCTCACAATTTCAAGTTTATGTCTTGCAATTGTGAGATTTTAACTCAGAATTATGAAAAACAGAATTGTGGGAGGAAAAGTCACAATCATGAGATTACATTTAGAATTGACAGAAAAAGAGTCAAAAAATGTGAGATTAACTCAAAATTGCAAACGAAAGTCAGAATTGTGCAATAAATTATTTATTTATTTTAAGGTGTGGTGGAAACAAGCTTTGTTAGTTTGTCTCCTTATGGCCTTTTGATGTAGCCTATTCTTTATTGTTCTCTCAGATGTTCCCATCATCATGCCGTGAATTAGAGAAGCACTAGAGAGTGCCGTTGAGCAACATATGACCAACTTCTTTAATGCTGTCTCTTCTGAGTTTCTCAGACTGAGCTCACTGCTTGAGCTGCTAGATACACTGACATTATACATGCTGAAGGTGTATTTCTACAGGAGAAGCTCATCTCTACACAAGCGTGTGTATCTGCTGAGCTATCTTTGAGCTCCAGCTAATCTGAGATGAGACTGAATATGATCTCACACATGCTCTGAGAGGAGAGAGAAAAAGACACACAGATTTATATCCCTAAACACTGATAACTCTCATGAATGGAGCGAGAGAGAGTGAATGTGTTCATGAACAAGCCTCAGGCCCTTCATTTACTCTCTGACTCATTTTTAACATCGCTGTAGTATCAGATCACCAATGAAAGCTCAGCCAGGTTTCCTCAGATTCTGACACAAACTCCTGCAACATCCTTTCAGCAGTTAAAGATGATGCTGAACAACTCTGTACAGATTCACTCAGATCACGTCTCAGACTGTTCATTATCTCCTTTCTGTAACCTTCTGAAGAAAACACGTAATTCATCATCTTAGAATCAAGCTTCCACACTGTAAAATATGTTGGTCATTATAAAAGGACTTCTTACAATTACCTTACAGTTTTTTACGATTGATTACACACTAAAATTAAACTTTTCCAACAATTAGCAAAACCTTACACTCAAGGAGCAAAACACAAGGCTAGATTTGCACAACTGTAAGCACATTGTCAGCTTCACACTATTTGCAAAACATTACACACAGTGATTTGCAAAACACTAAACACACTTGTATACATCAGACACAGAAGTATATCATGATGTCACTTCCTTGCAATTCCAAAGCACTGACTGTCAAATTACCACAACATGAGCCAATCGGTTAATAAAATCTGAAAAAAAAATAAAAATAAAAAAAATATCTGATCTTTCGATCTGAAAGATTGGCGAACCCGCTCCGAAGTCCCAGGTTGCGTTCCACTCCACTTTTAGGGTGCGTCTCAATCAGCCCCCTAGCTTGTGAATCAGCATATCTGTTACAATTCACTCAGGGAGCAAGGAACGAGGAGTTCTTGAATAACACAGTCTTTAATAATCCACAGGCAAACCGAGAACAAGGAGAACATTCAACAAGTAGACCTGACAAACAAGAACTGAAAGGACTAGGGCTTTTTTTAAAGGCAGGATAATTGGGCAGGAACGAGACACACCTGGAATCAAATTAACACAATCAACATGAGGAAGAAACTGGGTCACAGAGGCAAAAACACACACAGATAAGTCCATAATCCTGACAATATCATGTACACGAATCTGGGCACTGGTAAGTTCCCTGGCTCACTTCACATTGGGACAATGATTACTCAATGGACTCTATGCACGGTCACTTCCGCGTTTTTCCTCAGGGTGCTTGCTGGTTTCTCCCAAGGTTTTTTCTCCATTCTGTCACCGATGGAGTTTTGGTTCCTTGCCGCTGTCGCCTCTGGCTTGCTTAGTTGGGGACACTTAATATCCAGCAATATCGTTGACTTGATTGCACAGATACTATTTAAACTGAACTGAGCTGCTTGATGACATCACTGAATTCAATGATGAACTGCCTTTAACTGAAAATTGAGTGTTTACTATTGTCATTTTGCATTAGTGACACACTATTTTCCTATTTAATACTGTAAAGCTGCTTTGACACAATCTGTATTGTTAAAAGCGCTATATAAATAAAGGTGACTTGACTATATATCTCTCACTTTAAACGAGTGATAATTTGTGCATAGGATGTTATATAGGATAATTGAAAGTTTATAATCACATTGTCTGTTCTCTTCCTGTAGAGACATTAATCCTGACAGCATGCTGACGGCGGACGATCACGTGTGATTGCCTGATTTTGGCTCCTGTCTCTGGCTGGAGGATGATGGACTGCTGATGTTTGCGCTAGCGGTGAGCTAAAGGAGCTGAAGCCCTGAATGTTTTATTACTATGCCTTGTAAGCATCATCACTGAGTTTTCATGTGCATTAAAATAATTTCTATTAGAACCACAGGTTTGCTCTCTGCACATTCAACAGTGTCTACTTACATGTAGATACTTACATGCTTACATGTGTTCACCCCAGACAAGAACTGTCACTGAGGCTCTACTTCTAACCGACATGTAAACTGACCAACCATCTGTAAAAACTTACAGCAGCTGCTTCAGGAATCTGTAACTTACTGTAGAACTTATCGCTATAATACAGGTCTGTGACAGTCTTTTCTTTGTGTCAGTGAAACAATTCAATAAACAAGAAATAAATATTAAGTGACTTAAATTGTAGAAACAATATTGTCTTTTTTGCTCTATTTCGCTAAAGAAAATGGTTCCAAACAAAGCCATGTTGTGTGACTCTGCAGCAACACACAGCGCTGTTTCCTTACTGAAGGAATTTGCGTTTCACAAATTAGGTAAACAAAATCTTTTTGCAACTTTTTATCTGACAGTTCGGACTTCTCACAATTGCACAATTGAGTTTGTCTTGCAATTATGAGTTTATTTACGTGATTTGTCTCCTTTTTTTGACGAAAATAAAGAGGTTTTTGGTAAAATTTTTATCTTAGTAGTGAGATGGCGCCGACGGTGATGGCTGCCTCCGTGGCGTGCTCCGCAGTTGTTTTTATGTTTTTGTTAGTTTGTCCTGTCTTTAGTTATATCCCTGCAATCAGTTTCACCAGAGACAAATTGCTGGACATTCGGCAGTACACACCACCCGATATTTCACCGGTTTTCGATTATTCTGATGTTTTGCTGGCCATTGTAGTCGGTGGAGCAGCTGCGCTGTTCAGATGCTTCAGGACGCGCAGACGGGGGAAGCGAGCCGGCGCGCTCATGAAGCTCGGGCAGCGTGGATTCAGGACGCCTGTCAACGAACATTTTTCGTCATAGTCTTCGTTAATGAAATTAACACAAGCCCTGACAAAATCAAGCTTCCACACTCTAAAAATGTTGCTCATATTAAAAATGTAAAAATGCTACCTTTAAAATCTTACATTACCTTAATATTTATCTAAATATTTTAATATTAAAAATAAATGTAAAAAATATATTATACAGGCTTATACAAAAAACAAAATGGTGTAGAAACCGTTTTCACTCAGAAATTGAAAGTAAATTTCACGATTAATTACAAAGAAACGTCAAGTAACATGTTGAATTAAACATGACATTTTGATGTAGAAAAACTGAAATAGTATTTTATTTTAAAATATACTTTTTTGTTTTATTTACAACTTCAAAAAAGTAATTTTTACAGTGAACATTTACTGTATAATACTGTACGTGGTTTTTTTTGTTTGTTTTTTTAAGTAAAATGTATGAATGACCATTTCAACAGAATTTACAGTAAAAACCAGATGTCCAGAAGTCCCTCAGAGATGCATCACATTTGATTACATTATTATTCCTTTTTTTAGGCAACTGTCACAATAGAAGAAGAGCACAGACAGTTATCTTCCAAAACGGGTGTTTATTAACAGATGGGCAGAAACACAAGCAGGTTAGTGACTGGGTTCAATGAGTAGCAATGTAACTGAGCTGAGGACAACAGTCCTTTTAAATCCACAGGTGCAGGAGGACAGAACGAAGAAGACCGAAGACTGTCGAGTGCTTATGTAGGAGTCCTTGATGAGCTGGTGCAGCTGATCAGAATTCAGGTGATTGTGACAAAAAATATTATGTTTTCTGTGTTTACTGCATTATTTTATGTATTTTTAACACTTGACACATGAGACAGAGATTCTGCACATCTATCAGACCGCAGGAATATGAAGGTGTTACAGTACGAGAGAATGAGCACGTCTGGAATCTGAAACAGTGAGCTTTTGTGCTGACTGTGTTTCTCTGCCACTAAAACGAATACATGCTATTAGAGAAACTCAATCCTCCAGCATTAAAACAGTGACGCAGCACATCTGACTGTGGCCCAAAACCTCCAGTGGCTCCTGAAGACCTCTGTGTGTCCCAGCAAACTAAAATATGTTCTAAGAATGTTTTTCTAACGTTCCATTTATGTTATGAAAACGTTATTTCTGAATGTTCAATATCTCGTTTTTTAAATGTTTAAAAACTTATTTTTTTTCTTGGTTACAAGACAACATTAAGAGGAATGTTACATTTTGTTATTTTGCAAACATTACGAGAATGTTACTTTTGAATGTTCTCTAAAGCCTTCTTCAGACTGTCAGTTCAAATCCGACTTTTGTGCATATCCGATTTGAATCTGATCATATTTAGCCAGTGTGAACAGCAAAAAATCCCATGTTACCATTAGGACTCTTATATCAGGTCTCTGGGGCTGGGCTCGCAGGACGGCTTTTTATTCTGAGCTTATATAGTACGACTCTATTGGACGTCGTTCTCAAAACGTATTCATGCAATGTGAGAGACCATTTTGAAAGGGAACGCTGCAGCTACTAATGTAACCTCGGTTCCCTGAGATAACGGGAACAAGCATTGTGTGCGCGGCCGTGCTATAAAGCTGCAGACGCTTTCGCTTTACAGTCGAAAGATTCTGAAGAAAACTATTTTGTCAGAAAGCACCGTCCTTCAGACGAGACGTTAAACCGAGGTCTTGACTTTCTGTGGTTATAAAAAATCCAAAGATGTCTTTTGAAAAGAGTGCAGGTGTGACCTCTGCATCCAGGCCAAATTTGGCTTCTGAGCATCATGACCTCCTAATCATCCCCTTATATCTACTGATGGGCTTCATCACTCTGTTTCCTCTCCACCAGTAAGCTGCTGTGTTTTGGGTGTTCTGGAGCACTATGGCTGCCGTCTCGTCGTCCAGGTGGTGCTGCACGCTGATGAGGAGATCCAACCTCACAATGTAAAGCACTTCGAGTGTCTAGAAAAGCACTATATAAATGTAACAAATTATTATTATGAAGAGCAGTAATAAATTGTTCATTTGTGTAAAAACTAGCTCATTTGTGTAAATACAGTTATTATTTTGTCTTATGGACTATAAATAAGCATCTGTCATGTCTAACAGCTTATGCAGGGCAGCACTGAAAAAAAGAAAAAAAAAACAGGACATTTTTGTATCTGTCTATCAAACGTCAAAATTTGTAATCTTTTAAAGAAATTCAAAGTCTGTTTTGATAAACTTCACTTTTCTAGTTAAAAATTGCTTTGATTTTCAAATGATTTCTATTCTACTTCCTAGCATAATTCAAATTAATTAATTGTTTAGTAATTTAAAGGTGTTCTCAGTTCATTTTAATGATGATTTATTATGTTATGGTGAAATCAGTGAACTCGATAGTACAGATTCTGAGTAACATTCATCAAAGTTGGATCAGGTGATCCTCAAACCTGATAAAACAGATTTTTATTGGCCTGTAACACATTCATGAATTTGACCATGAAGACCCCAAACATGAAGTCACGTGGTGGTGTGGATATATCAGTGTCATATAAGAGCATCAGCAGGAAGGGTAATGAGTGTTGGTTTGGATATAATAATCAGTCCTGGAGTTTGTTCTGCTCTTCCTCCAGTTACTCATTCTGGCACAATAACATACAGACTGATCTCTCTGTGAAGTCCATCAGCAGTAGAATAGGAGTGTTTGTGGATCACAGTGCAGGAACTCTGTCCTTCTACAGCGTCTCTGACACAATGAGCCTCATCCACACAGTCCAGACCACATTCACTCAGCCGCTCTATCCTGGGTTTTATGTTTATAGAGGATCATTAGTGAAACTGTGTTGATGAATCAGAATAGACCGACGAGAGATTCTACACATAATGCTTTGAGCTGCATGAGGAATCAGTAACAGTGAGATGTTATAGTCTCTTCTGTTCTCTTGATGACATTAATACTGCAGCTGAACTTCTGTCAATGAAATAACGTCAGGATAAATGTGTAATAAATCCTCATATAGACAGTAAGATCAGTGTGTGTGAGTCCTGCTGAGTGAGCATGTGTTTCTGTGCTTTTCTCTGTCTGTTGATTGAAATGAGCCTTTTAGTTTTTATTGTAGTATCATAATTTGTATTATTACCATCAAAATGACTTTTTTTTTTAGTTCAAATGATCACACAGAGTCAATAATTAATTTTCATTATTCACCTTATGAAGCTCCAGCACTTTTCAGCGTTTTGTGTTCTTCTGTCTTCCGGTGTCACGAACCGTTGTTTTTATTGTCATACATCTAGCTGTTATCCTCAGAATTCATTTTTATTTTTAGGTTACAGCTTGTTAATTATTTTGTTTTACAGTTTTTCTCGATTGTTAACACACTTTAACTGATTCATTTGGACCAATTTCTCAAACCATTCATTCAGTTCTCGAAACAAAGATACATTTCTCAAAACTTTTAACACATTTCACCTGTTTTCACACATGATCCAATTTGCTCAATATTTTCTGCAAATCTCTACACTAGTGCCTTGTTCAGACTGTCAGTATAAATATGATTAGGAATGTGTGTGTCCGATTGGACTGTCCACACTGTGCATAGTAAGTGTTCTGATCCGATTTGTGTGTCCCGTGGTGCTGTTTCATTTTGCTGACAATCAGACACTGTTTTAAAATGACCGTGTGTAAAAATATCATCCCTGTGTAACTCTAGAGATTGTGTGGTTTCTGGTTCTCTGTGCTGCTTTACTCTCTTCAGATGAGTATTTCTGATCTAATGGCATCTTCAGCTGACAGTTTTCATATGATGCTGCTGAGACCGAATATTATATTAAACAGAAACTTTTGTGAATGTGTTTACTGTGAGGCTCACACATCTTCACATTGTGTTTTAAGGCTGTTGTGATTGTTTGGGACGCTGGTTTAATGCTTGTTTAAAGTCGGCATGAAATTTTCTTAATACATTTTACGGAATGATTCTTTTATTTTCATTTATTTTTATTTTTACAACTGACTTTGCAGACAAATAACTTAATTTTTCAGAGTGAATATGTGAGTGTAACTCATCAAAAGAGGCTGATTGTTACATTTTACATTATATTTATGCATTTGGCAGATGCTTTTTTCCAAAGCAACTTACATTGTATTCAAGGTATGTATTTCTTGATCCCTGCATTCTCCAGGAATCGAACCCACGACTTTAGCATTGCTAGTGCCTTGTTTGAGCTACAGGAATACTTGCCTATTGTTTCCTCTGATGGAGGTGTGTTTGAGGTGAGAAAGCAGCTGTGTGTGTGTTTTGTGAGTCATAGTGTTTAATGGTCACCTGGTTAAGCAGCTGAGCGCCTCTATTTGTGTCTCATTATTTTACGGTAAACGCGGCTCTTTTCTGCCACTGGTCTGTAATCTGCCTAAATCTCTACCTGTGGGATAGCGGATGGGAAGAAATTCAGCAGGAACAGAAAAAAAAACGTAAAAGTTGCTGGCAGGAGCGGGAAGAAATATAACTTTTTTTTAATAGGTGAGGAACTGAATCTTGCATGAACGGGACTGAATTTATTTATTTAAAGGACAACACACATTAATCAACATTTCTGTAAATGTGCCAGTGTTAGCCAGCCGGCTAATTTTCAACTGCAGTCCTTTGGCAGGATGTTTCAGAACCCTTTAAGATATCAAGAAGAATAAACAAAAAACAACAAGACATCAGTACACTAACAACATGTTATCCATGTGTTTAGTGTTGTTTTATGTTTGATAATTGAAAGAGTTTCTGGTAAGTCGGCTAGTATTGTGGTTACCACTGGCTGAAGAGTACTGCGCAAATGCCAAGAAATCTTACAGAATCTTAAGAAATATGAATAAGAAATATAAGCTAATGTGAAGTTAATTTGAAATGAATTAGATAAGATATTATTATTAGTAAGAACAACTTAATCTTTTTTAGTAATCAACTTAGGGTTAGGTTAGGGTGTAAATGTACCAAATTAATTTCCTGTAACTGGAGTGGGTGGTCAATATATATATATATATATATAAATACTGTGCAAAAGTCTTAGAACACTAGTATCTTCAGCAGCTAAACAAAAATGTTTTTTAAGTCAGTTATTTCTATCTTTTGCTGTAGTGTGTCAGTAGGAAATATCAGTTTACACTTCCAAACATTATTTTTACCATTAATTGTAATAATCCAGAGAGATTTTTGTGCTCCACACAGAGATCTGATCATCATCAGTCTATCTGGAGTCACATGAAGAAACAGAACAAACTGAGACAGACTCAATCCAGAAGAACTGTGTCTCCGAGACGCTTCAAGAGACCTCCTGCAAAGCTCCTGAGAAACTCTGCTCAAGTGTACTGAGGGCAAAAGCTGCTTTAAACACAAAGGATGATCACACCAAATGTTGATTTAATTTTGTTAATAGAAGTTAATTAAAAAAATTAAAGCTATTTACGCCATTATTTTTGAAAGCATCCTCACTTTACAGCATTTTTACACAAGTGCCTAAAACTTCTAACAGTACTGTTGTTACGGAAGGAGACTCACAAAGAAAATTAGAGTACAAACTGGTTGCTTATTAACAGCAAGTGATGTAGATGGTAATGGCAGGTGAGTAATAAAGGCAATGTAGCAGTTCTTTGTATGGAGAATATAACAATTTCTGGTTTCACAGGAGATCGTGGAAGGGGGACAGAAGACAGCACACACCTCAGATGACGAGTACTGAGAAGATCCACGGAGATGATCACTGGAACAGACGAAGGAATGGAACACAGGAGAACACACTGGAGGAGACACAGGAGGTAAGTACAACAGGCAGGTAGGTAGTTCAATGTATCGCACGGATAGCATAGAGAGTCCACTTTGTATGAACGAGACCGGACACTGGAGTGCTGTGAGGTGTGTGCTTTTGTATTAGTCTTGATGAGAGTGCAATTCCAAACAGGTGCGTGCAATGAGTACTCAGGTGATGGTGTTTGCGGGAACCCATGAACGTTCCTCTGGCCCATAGCCTTCCCAGTCCACAATATATTCTAAGAGACCACCACAGTGCCGGGAGTCCAAGATCTCGTTGACCTTGTAGATGGCACCGTCCTCTTGGATTAATGGAAGAGGGGGTTCTTCTGTCGGGCCAGGCTCTGTGGAGACAGAAACAGGAGGATGGGTGTCCCGTGTTGACAGCCATACCTTCTGACCAGGTTGGTATGATGGGGTTTCAGCCCTTCGAAGGTCTGCTGTCGTCTTGCTTCTGCGGACTGCCCGCTGAAGCCGATGGTGAGCTGCGTCCCAGACCCTCTCGCTCTCTCGGAACCAGTAATCGACAGATGGGACATCAGACGGTTCCCCGGACCAGGGGAACAGGGGAGGCTGGTAACCGAGTACGCACTGGAAGGGAGTGAGTCCAGTGGATGGCTGGCGAAGAGAGTTCTGCGCATACTCGGCCCAGCCTAGGAACTGGTTCCAAGAGTTCTGGTGGCCATGGCAGAAGGTTCGCAGGAAACGTCCAATTTCATGAATCTTCCTCTCCGTCTGCGCGTTAGACTGGGGATGGTATCCTGACGAGAGGCTTATGGTCACACCTAGGAGGGAGAAAAATGCCTTCCATACCCTGGAAATGAACTGTGGGCCACAGTCTGAGACAATGTCTTCTGGGATTCCATAATATCTGAAGATGTTGTTAAACATGATGTCAGCAGTTTCCATAGCTGTGGGTGGACCCTTGAGGGGGAGAAGACGGCAGGATTTAGAGAATCGATCAATGACTACTAGAACACATGTTACCATCTGAGGCAGGCAGATCTGTGATGAAGTCAACTCCTAGATGTGACCAAGGGCGGTTAGGAACGGGCAGCAGAAGAAGTTTGCCAGATGGTAGGTGGCGTGGGCTCTTGGCGATGGCACATTCGGAACAGCCTTGGATGAACCTTCTCACATGCCTGGCTATATTGGGCCACCAGAAGCGATCTTTCAGCAGCGAGATGGTGTTGTTGGCCCCTGGGTGGCCAGTGTCCAGAGAAGTGTGAGCGGAGTGAATCAGGGGAGTGCGTTGTGCTCTGGTGACATATCGCA